CTATGATGGAAGTATTCATACCAGAGGAGCGCTTAGCTCAGCTGGGAGGAGGTGAGGTCTGAGCTAAGTCTTGTAGGGTGAGTTAGGCCAGGGACTGGGGTGTGGTGAGAGGGCAGGCAGGTGGTAAATTGGAGGAGGGGACTTTTGGGGGCAGAGGGAGCAGCAGGACCAGTGGACCCACAGGGTGGCTGTGTGGGTGGGTGATGGGAGTGCACTGTTTACATGGAGGGCAGAACAGGGCATGACTACCAAGAGAGAAAGCTGGAGAAGCCAGCAGGGGCCATGAACTTGGGAGTCTGAGCCTTGCTGGAGAGCCTTTGAAGGGTTTAAATTGGGTTAAATTTTTGTAGCGTTTCATTTGAAGACAGATCTCATTGCTGAGGAAAGGGTGGATTGAGGTGCAGGAAAAGATGGAGGGGCAGGGAGAGCAGTTAGGGGGCTGTAGCCACGTCCCCATGAGAGGAGATAACAGCCTGAGCCCAGGCAGTGAGGTAAGGGGTGATGGAAGAGGGGTGGACTTGATAGACCAGGCAGGACCTGGAGATCATGTGGAGTGAGGGAGAGATAGTGTAGACTGAACTCTAGGCTCCAACACAAAGTGAGGGTGAAGCTCTAAGCTTCATGGGGTCTGGATGAAAAGGGTTCTCAGTAGGGATCAGCCCAGGCCGATTTAGTCACTCCAGTGGGCTCCCAGAGTTCTTTGCACAGAATGTTCTCCACAATGTGATATTTCACATTACAGTAGTTTAAATGCTTATCTCCAGGCCAGAGTCTACTTCTTAAAAGTAGGAATGATGTCTTAACCTTCATATTCATAATAGCAGACACAGTAAACATCTGTTGAAGTAATCATCAAGTTCTCTCCCTTTACCAAGGAGAAACCCCAAATCTAGGGAGCTTAAGTGAGTTATGGAAAACGTTGAGAGCTAGTGGCAAGTGATGGGACCTAAACCTTGGTCTCCCATACTCCCAGATAACTGTTCTCTTCACTGAGATGCGAGGAATGGCAAAGCTAAGATCGGAGCTGGAGATGGAAGATAGAATCCTTGGTTCCTCTGGCATGAAGTGGCTGATAAGCACCAGTTTGTCATGAACAGCAGTACTTCTTCCCTTGGGTGTTGAGGGAGACGTTGACGCCCTGTTACTTCAAATTGCACTTGCTTTAGTCGTAATGTTTGAATGAAACGGCTGTAAGTGAAATGGGCTGTAAGAGAAACGGGCTGCAAGCGAGGCCCTGTTTGCGACTTAGGGTATGCATCGGCATGC